TGTAATTATTATTTTTTTTGTAAATGTAAGTATTTTTTTTGTTATATTTGTTTAATTTTATAGATCTAAATACTTTTTGGTTTAAAAAATATTTAAGTGCTTAATCGTTCAAAATATGAATGTTCATTGGGTTTTTTTGGGGATTTTTTTCACTATTTTACCACTTTAACTAGTTGTACAAGTCATAAGAATGTATCCAACATGTTTTATAAAAGTTCAAGAAGTTATTTAACATGTTTTGGATTGTTCAAGGACTTATTTGTTCCAAAAATTGTCCAAGGAGTTATTTAACATTTTTTGGAATGTCCAAGGATTTATTTGTTTCAAAAATTGTCCAAGGACTTATTTAACATATTTTGGAATGTCCAAGGACTTATTTGTTCCAAAAATTGTCCAAGAACTTATTTAACATATTTTGGAATGTCCAAGGACTTATTTGTTCCAAAAAATTGTCCAATGACTTATTTGTTCCAAAAAAAAGTCCAAGGACTTAATCATTCCAAACAAGAAAATCCATTGGTTTTTATTGTAATTTTCCCTAATATAAAACATTACATAAGTACTGAAATATGAAAATACATAAAATCAAATAATATTTTACTTCAATATAAAAAATCTTATTAAATAGTTATATCTATATTTTTATTTATTAATAAATAAAATCAACAAATATTAAATTGTAATATAAAGTAAATGTTTAGATTAATCATCGCCATTTCTTCTTTAAATCTTTGTTAAATTTCTTCAGTAACGAAGAGAAGATAGGGTTTATAATTAGCTATATAACCTTGAATGCGAAAGAGGCGATAAGGAAGTAACAAAGAGCAAATATGAAACTCGAAAGATAATAATTCAATCTAATGGAATCGAAGCACAAAATAAAAGAATTAGTGTAGAAGTCAACCACAACATATAACTTTTTAATGAAAAGTGATGTAATTCATTTTATTGTGTAATTAATATTTATTTAATTTATATATGACATTTCTACATTTTCCAATTATACATCCACCTGTATTCTATAAACTAATTTTTTGTTAAGGTATTAATATATAATTTAACCATTTACAATTTGATAGATACAAATTTAGAGTAAATTATGGATTTGATTCCCATTGTTTTAAATTTGTTTTGGGTTTGGTCCTCAAAATTTGTTTATTTTAAAAATAGCCTCTAGAGTTTGCATTTTGATAACACAATGGTCCCTATCACTAACTACTATTCATTTCCAAATTGCTAAATGAGGGATATTATTGTCCTTTTCATTTTTTTAATCTTTTTACAATTTGCCTTATTAAATAATAAAATGCCACAGATCTAAACTGTAATTTACTCTATACGAGTAACAACAAACCCATCTCACTACTTTAGCCTTATTGTCAAATTGAAAACCTCCTGCTTGCAACTCCTGCCACCTACCCGTCTGCAACTCCGAGAACCCTCCCTTCCGCCTTTCTTGATACAGTGATACATCACACAGACTATCTCATGTTTGGATCCAAGAACCACAATGTTGATCATAACTCCTCTCAATGATATGATGATAGCACTCCATACATAGTGATTAGTTTATCTTGTTTAAGTTCTAACTGAAAGCACGCCAAAGACTGAGTCTAGTCAGTGTTCGTTGAGCATTCCAAGTTATTTAGAACCTATGTTTTTCAAGACAAGACTTGCATGAAAGAAACTTCGGTGATGTGGAAGAAGTAACAAAAGATATAGATAGGAAGATCTGAAGCGACATTCAATAATACAATCTATCTGGAGAAATGTGAATCTTTATTCAAGTGATCAGCGACAACTGAAGAAGCCTTTAGTGCGCTCTCTAGTTTCAAAGTTAGATTGTTTAGATCAGGTTTATTCCTTTTCTTATCCTGTAACAATTTGTAAATTCCAGTATATTGATTCTTCTTCTTAATCAATAAAAGAATTTAAAAAGTGAAATAGTTGTGTTCATACACAACCCCCTTTCTACAATCTGTTAACAAGCCTATTATCACTCTTGGGACAAACAAGTGCTATTTTAAGTAGTGTTTCTCTTCTTTATTTCTTCCCAAACTGATCTTACAATTGCTACAAACAACTACCATAACAATGCCTCTTTTGTCAAACCTCCCATGTTTAGCAGAGATAACTTTCCTCTCTGGAAAAATTGAATGTCTCTTTTCCTTGAAGGTATGGACCCTCAAATCCCACAATATATAAGAGATGGTCCCTTTTTCCATCTGTAACTATTGAGGTTGTGCCTGCAACTACCACACACCACCCTTGAACATGCGGTAGAGAAGCTAGCTCATAAATAGACTAAAGATGATGTGAAGAAGATGACCATCGACACCAAAGCTAGGACTGTCATTGCTATGGATCTTCTTAGTGAAGTCTACCACTTTGTCATGTACCTCAAATCTGCCAAAAAAATGTGGGACACCCTCTTTATCTAATATTAAGGTACATCTGAAGTCTAGGCGACAAGGAAGATAAATCTGTTAAGACAATATGAGATGTTTATTTGAGGTAAGAATGAATATCTATTTGAGGTAGAAAATATTCCAATTCTAAAACTCTGACGAAGTTTTCAGAATGTTTTTCTGAATCATGGGACAGTTATTCAATGTGTGTAAAGACTTCAAATGACCTGAAAACTATGTCCCTTAGTGCTCTTTTTGGCACCTCGTGAACCATAAGCAATCTAAGGCTCTAACGAAAAATATCATAGGAGATACATAAAGCTCTCATTTAGCTTTACTTTCTTC